ACATAAACTAACAGAGCAAGAAAAGATGAGGAGGTACTTTTGATGAAAAGAGAGCAGTCAGAAACAGATTGAATAAATCCATAATCAAGTAAGCAATCTGTTAGCTTGTGAAACCATTGCCTAGAGGCCTGTTTCAGGCCATATAGGCTTTTGGTTAACCTGCAAACCCTCTTGTCAGATTTATCACAATATCCAGGGGGTGGGGTCATGTATACCTCTTCATCTAATTCACCATGGAGAAATGCATTGTTAACATCTAGTTGGTGCAAGTGCCAGTTATGAATGGATGCCAATGCAATGAGTAATCTAACTGTTGTGATTTTTGCAACAGGACTAAAAGTGTCAAAATAGTCTATGCCTTCCTCCTGAGTGTAACCCTTGGCTACCAATCTAGCTTTGTGTCTTTCTATAGAACCATCAGCCTTATATTTGATTTTAAAAACCCATTTACAGCCTATGGGGTGTTTACCAGGAGGAAGATCAGTAAGATGCCAGGTTTTTGTCTGTTCTAATGCAGAGAGTTCTTTATGCATGGCTTCCTGCCAGAGAGGATCTGTGGAAGCTTGTTTGTATGATTTAGGTTCAGTGTGAGTAGTGATAGCAGCAGTGAATGATGCATGACCAACAGACAAATTTGAAGTGCTGAGATGATTTTCAATAGGATATAAGTTGGATGTTCTAGAAATGATTGGAGACTGTGTTGTTGAAGTAAGATTGGAAGAGGAGTGTTGAATATGATGTTTGTAAGCATTGAGATATGCTGGGGTTGTTCTTGTTCTTGTTGATCTTCTGATGGGTGGTGGAGAGGGGTTTGGGGGTGGATTTATAGGTGAAGAAGCATTGGTATGATCTGTAGATGGAATTATGGGTGAAATGGAAGAATCTGAGAGATGTGGAGATGAAGTAGTCAGAGGTTGAGGAAAAACAGTTTGATCAGAGTTTAAAGGTTGAGTGTATTCATCTGAGAATTGAGTAGGAACTGGGAATAATGGTATGTGGTTGTTATCAGAAGGAGGAGATTGAAATGGAAACACAGTTTCATAAAAGATAACATTTCTAGAAATCACTGTTTTCTTGGTATCTAAGTCATAAAGTTTATAACCTTTATGACCCAAGGGATATCCAAGAAAGATGCACTTAGATGCTCTGGAGTCAAATTTGGTTCTATGAGAGGAAAGTGTGGATGCATAACAAAGACATCCTATTGTTCTAAGATGCATGAGGGATGCTGGGGAGCCATTTAGCATGTGATATGGTGATTTGTTGTTCAGAACTTTAGTGGGGATTCTATTAATGACATGAACAGCAGCTAAGATGCAATCTATCCAGAATGAGAGAGGTAATTGTGCATGAAATAAAAAAGCTCTGGCTACCTGTAAGATGTGCTGATGTTTCCTTTCCACCCTAGCATTCTGTTGTGGGGTTTCCACACAGCTTTTCTGATGAATGATACTTGTTTCTTGGAAGAAATCATGCATAATAAACTCTGTACCATTATCAGATCTTAAAATTGTGATTGTTTTTTGAAATTGAGTTTGAACCAGTTTATGAAAGTGTTTCAAGCAAGAACTGGTTTCTGATTTTTGAATAAGAGGATAGACCCAGGTAGTCCTGCTATAATCATCCACAATTGTTAAAAAATATTTATGACCAGCATATGAAACAGTAGAAAAGGGGCCCCATACATCACAATGAATCAACTCAAATGGAAATGATGCAGTAGTAGTACTTAACTGGAAGGGTAGTCTTTTTTGTCTAGAGAAATGACAGACATCACAAGGGGTGGGATGATAAGAAGAATGACAAACATCCAGTTCAAGCATTTTATTGTAAGATAGATGACCAAGTCTAGAATGCCATATAACAGGGGATACAAGGTTTTTGTATGATGTAACATCAGATACAGTAGAGTTGTTTACATGGGATACATCAGTGTAAGGTATGTCAGATAAAGGTGCAGATGGATCAAAGTAGTATAGGCCAGACTTGACTTTAGCAAAACCAGTCATTTTGAGTGTATTCAGATCCTGCATAATGCAGTGAGATGCAAAGAATTTGATACTGCAATTGTTTGTAGAAGCCAATTTGGAAATGAAGATGAGATTAAATTTGAAATTAGGAACAAACAATGCTTGTTTCAAAACAATAAAAGGAGATACTGTAATATCACCTATATGTGAAGCAAAGGTAATTTCTCCATTTGGCAAATTCACAGGGATAGATATAGTACGCATGTTAGACGTGAAAAGAGATTTATCACAAACCATATGGTCAGATGCACCAGTATCTAGTATCCATGTATAATCACTTAGGGCACAGTTAGCAGAAAAAGAAGCATGAGTAATACCTGTTGTGGAACCAGGTTGAGTGACACATGCATTGACTGTAACAGGTTGAGTATCCATAGAGTTGGTACAGTTACTCTGCTCATAAGACTTTTTAAAGGCTAAGAAGTCATGAAAGAGTTGATCAGTTATTGATGGTTCAGAAGGAACATGAGAGCCAGATTGTGTTGAGACCACACAATTAGCAGAGTGTTTAGGATGGATTCTAGGACCTCGAGGACCTTCCCAGTTGGGAGGATAGCCAACAACTTGATAGCATTTGTCAGTGGTGTGGCCAAGATAGCCACAATGAAGGCATTTAGGGCGAGGAGGTTTGTTTTGGTCTTTGGTATATGATTTTGTTGAAGTATCAGAGGGTTTGAATGGCTGTTTGTAGGATTTTTGAGGAGGAAAGTGAGACTTAGCAGCCATGGCCAGGGAATCAAGAGATTTAGGGATATGTAAGGCTCTTTGGCTTTCTTCTTGGAGTAAAAGGGAGTAAACTTTGTTCAAGGATGGAAGGGGCGTGGATAGGAGGAAATATGATCTCAAAGCAGCATATGACTCATTCAAACCAATTAAGAACTTGATCACAGAGTCTGATTGTTGTGAGTTAATCATAGATTCAAAGATATTACAAGAGCATGAAGCAAGAGCACCACAAGTACAGCGAATTATGGGTCTATATGATAAGTATTCATCCCAGAGAGTTTTGAAAGAATTATAGTATTGGGTGATTGTCATTGAACCTTGATCCATCGTACTTAAAGATTTTTCGATTTGGAAAACACGAGGACCACTGCTCAATGCATAACGAGCTTTCAGTTCATCCCATACGTCTTTAGCAGATGTAAAAAATAGTAGAGATTGTCTGATATCTTTAGCAATAGAATTCAACAGCCACGACAATACAAGATTGTTTGCACGAGTCCACGCCAAAAACTCAACAGTACGATCAGTAGAGATAGGGATAGAGACAGTACCATCAAGGAAACCAATTTTGTTTTTGACACTCAACGCCATAGTGACCGCACGAGACCAGGAAACATAGTTGGTGCCGTCGAAGACCTCAGCAACAATGATTGCACCAGGATTGTCGCTCGGATGTAAGAAATACGGCGAGTTCGGATCATCGGACATATTAGGGTTTGCCATCGGTCGTACAGATCAGAGATATGAATAATCGAAACAGCAAGTGCACAAAAAAAAATCGAAATCGTACAGATCAGAGAGTAGAGCGTACAGATTCAGATTCAATTTGTACAGATTCAGATTAAAATGAAAATTGAGAGAAAATTCACGCCGGAGAGTGGCAAGAGAGAGGAGAAGGATGAGAAGCAGCGGAAATCGGAAAAAATCTATCGGATCGGCGAGGCGCCGGCGACTGATACCATGATAATGCTGATAATCGAACACATAGCAAGAGAGAGAGAGCGGCGAGAGAGAGATGAAAGAATGCTTAGGGTTTCATAAAACTGAAAAGTGAAGAATAAAGGTACATGGGTGCCCTTATATACTTGGGTCACTTGTGCAAATACTGTAAAATACCTATACTTCTAATGAATAGGAAAGAAACTTAAAAGTGTTTGTTCATTGTGTAAAATGATTTGTACATATGTTATTAAATTTTTTATGTATCCCCATTTAATTCCGGGTTGGATGCCTCAAGATTCAGGTCGAAATTTTTTATTAACAATGGAGGAAAATTGATGTTTGCAGTGAGAGGAAAAAAGACATTTT